CAATCCTCACGGCCACGCTGGGCAGGAAGCAGATAATGAAGATGATGGCCACCACCAGGAGGACACGGATGGCTCTCTTGATCTTGGCCTGCTTGTCCATTTGCCTCTGCCGCAGGCTCCAGATGATTCTGCCTGCGCAGAACAGAATGATGCCCACGGACAAGAAGAACTCCAGCAGGAACATGGCATCGTGCCATCTGAAGGTATTGCAAATGATAAAATTGCTGCATAAATGGACATCATTTATCTTCAACAACTCTATGCTCAGGAGGTGAGAGGTCAGGCCAATGGTGACGCCCCACAGGAGGCAGGAAATGATGGCAGCCGTCAGATTGGAGATCTTGTTGAGAGCGTGGTGGGGATGGACCACCCGGAAATACCTGTCCACGGCCACCACCGTGAGGAAGATGATGCTGCCCTGGCGGTTCATGGCCAGCATGAAGAGCATCAGCCGGCAGGTGGCTTTCCCAAAATTCCATCTCAACTTGTTCATACAACTAACTGTTAAAATTGGCAGCCACATGATGAGGAGAAAGTCGGCCAAGGCCAGGTTGAACAGGAAAATCCAGCTGGGCTTCCAGGACTTGAAGTGGAAGCAGAAGATCCACAGGGCCAGGCCATTGCCCAGGAACCCGAACACGAACTCCAGCGCCAGCACCGACGGCAGCACGTTGGCAATGATTTCGTTCTGGAAGACACAGCAGTTCTTGTCCTGTGTGTGCACCAAGTATGAGTGGCTCTTGAGATCGTTCCCGTCCATGAGTGGATCAGTTGAGCTGGACGGAGCCCGTCACCAGTGACAGCCCAAGGAAGGAGCTGTGTGTCTGTGTGGTGAACGTGGGGCTGTGCACCTGCTTTATATCTTCTCAGGGTGTTGAAATAGATGAGTGATTACCAGGAAACAGTGAGATAGGCTCGGAGGCTACCCCTGTGGTGCATTGGCTGGGACTCCACCCACAACTCCCATAGCCATCTAACGCGCCCTTGTCGAGTGTTTACCATCTGTGCCGCCTCTCGAGTGTGACTTGGATGAGAAGAGAAGGCCAAGGTGCCTTCCGCCTTGCTCGGTCTCTACCCCAGGCACACAAACCCACTGCTGTCAAAGCCATTCTGAGTACAAACAACTCTACAGGGTAGAACTGCCTAAGAGGGCTTCCAAAGCTGTCTTCTTTACTGAAGTAGAATGCCACCGGTAGGCTTGAACCATTGATTTTGTGGTTAGCAGCTCA